GAAAGCTGAGTAATATCTCTGATTACTATTCTGTAGCTAGCATGAGGAGGGAGCAAGGAAAACATGAGCCAGAAGAGCCTCTATTTATAGACAAATTGTTCTGCAGTACATGGGATTTTGGCCTGAACACAAGTTCGTCTGAGAAGGGTACTTCTAGAGTGGTTTTTACTCCTCTGAGATGGCCTAATCTGATATGAATTAGTCTCTAAGTGCCTTGCTAATCCAAGCGGTTGTAAATCTACTATATGAGGCCTATTCTTAGATTACTTGCTATGAGAATGGTATTCTTAGACTAATTAGTATAAGAGTTATTTTCTAAAGCCAGTCTGTGAAGTACTTTCTGATCAATACCTTGATTTACCAATCTAAGATGGATGTAGTATCTCTTTATGTGTTTTTACAGTCTATTTGTATAATTATTATTCATAAGGATTTATGTATTTTAGGCCTGATTTGGGCTTTATCTTAGCTATGTTTTAACCCAGTAATTATTATACATTGTATTCCATATTTTACCCCTTCTTCTCTAACATCTTAAACACTATTTATGTGTAATAAAATGTTTTTAACTAGATCTATGGGTTTGATCAATCTTACCACACCGGGTACCTGTAGCGGGTGCGGGTACCTGCCTCAAAATGAAAAATCCAATATTTTTGACACCCGCACCCGCACCTGCTAGGGCCACTAGGGCGGGTACCCGGGTACCTGCGCCGGGTACCTGCGGGTACCTGGCACATTTTTGCAGGCAAATATACCCAGAAATATCACCCTTGAATTTCTGCATGACTTGGTAAATATAAGATTGATATTCACTAGATATATCAGTAAGAATAAAATAAAAATAAAGAAATAAAGAAAAACAAATTACTCTATCACCAATTTGAATTTTATCTTCTCTCTGATCTATCTTTAGCTTTACCCTTTTGCTTGGCCTCTGTTGTAGTCGGAATCCTTAGTGTTCATTGCTCTTCCCTGCTTCCTCCTCTTGTGTTCCTCATACTCCATTTGTGGAGTTTGCTCACCCGTACAACACCCCCCCTCAAACTCCACACCAGTGCCTACAACTATGAGAGTGATAGAGACATATAAAAAAGAATCAAGAAAATATGAAAAATATGAAAGTGAGAAGAAAAAAATTGGACATAGTCAATGAGAAGAATAATAAAAAAATGAAAAAATGAAACAAATCAAGAATAATAAGGCAGGAGATAAAAGTTTGAAAAAAAACAATGTTTGAAGGAGAATCAATAAGAAAATACCATCATCATAAAATCAGTCATATGGGAATTGTTTTTTTTTTTTTTTTGGGGAA